GTTAGTATTATACTAATTACTTTTTAATTTTATTGATCAATGAAGTCTCATTTATACAAATATTCAATTCAAACGCAGTATTCACATTACTCCTGCGTTTATTTTTTACTTCAATTTTCATTGTATCTGACATTGAGATTAATTACTTTGAAGAATTGACGAGAAGGTCGATAAGGAATACTACGAGAATGATGGATCGAGTGTAAAAACTGCTAAAAAAATGGTAAGAATTCAGAATATTAGGATATTTCGTGTTTCTTTGAATTAAGCAATATAATAAGTTAAAAGCTTGTCAAACAACCGCTGTCAATACGTTCATTCGCAAGTGTGACTCACGTAAATAACATTCCATGAAGCATTACAGAATTCTGTCGCAGTAAATGAGCAAATGATTGTCAATATCTTTTAAATAATGATATGATCAAGTTTGAACAAAATATATGCCACCAATTTGTGTAATATTTTTCAGTATAGGTATCACCAAATGACATGAAGTGGATGTGCACCAGTGGTACTACTGCTATTACTACTGCTATTACTGCTTACACTACTGCTATTACTTAGCAACACTTACTATCCAATACAAGTACTAATACGATCCACTACTGCAATTACTTACTAATATTTACCATCTACTACTACGATTACTTATTTATACTTACCATCTACTATTACGATTACTTATTAATACTTATCATCTACTACTAAGATTACTTACTAATACCTGCCATCTACTACTGCTATTACTTGCTAATACTTACCATCTACTACTGCTATAACTTACAAATACTTTCCATCCACAACAATTACTAATACTTACCACCTACTACAATTACTTAGTAATATTTACCAACTTCTACTACCATTAATACAAATACCATCTACTTTCACGATTACTTACTAATACTTACCATCTACTACAACGGATACTTACTAACCATCTACTACTGCTATTACTTATCAAAACTTACCATTTACTACTACGATTACTTACTAGTACTTACAATCTACTACTGCTTTTACTCACAAATACCATCCACTACAATTTCTTACTAATACCATCTACTACTACTATTACTTACTAATACCGTATACTACTACGATTGCTTACTAGTACTTACCATCTACTACTGCTATAAATTACAATTACTTTCCATCCACTCCATTTACTAATACTTACTATCTACTATTGCAATAACATACTTATAATTACCATTCACTACTACGGGTATTTGCTAATCATATGCTACTGCTATAACTTAAAAATATTTGCCATCGACTACAATTACTTACAAATACTCGCCATCTACCACAATTACTGATTATTACTTACCATCTACCTTTACGATTATTTACTAA